CATAAAGTAAACTCCTAAGACAGAAAAGTTGTGCGCATCTTCTTTGGGGAAATGTAGGTGTTTAAGCTCCTTTCTTCCTGAAGTTCTCTTGTAAGGTCTGATATCTTCTTCTCATTTTCATAGAACTTAGCTTCGAACGTGTCTCGCTCTCCTTTTAACTGAATCCAAGTGTGTTGCAAATCTTCAAGAGAAGTAGGCATATCAGGATAGAGGATCATATGTGGAATGTCTCCCTCGACTACTGCCTCCATGATAACAGGTAAGACGGCTTCATAAGGCATCTTGGGACTTTGAGCGCGGGCCCTCACCCATTTAAGATAAGGCTCCAAAGGAATGGAATTCTTATGCCCTAATGTCTTGCTATTAACTTTGTTAACCATACCCCAAGCTCGTATAAATCTTTGGCGATAACCTTGGGTGTCACTTTCGTTGTCAAATGCAATTCCTTGGATGAGTACCTCATGAGGGCCATCTCTTCTAGCGTACCCAAATTGTCGCAAAGCTAAACAAGGGTTGTAGGTAATTCCTCCCCTAATTCCAAGTAGAGGGACATTAGGGAATTCCCCACAGCGGTCAATGATGGTAATGTCTTCTAAGGAGCGATAATACCAACGGATTCCAGTATGCGAAAGTGACATCAATCTTTTAGACCATCTCATACCTTGTTCATTATTCACCATGGATTGAGGTACATGCGAAATAAACCACCTAGCCAACAGAGGAGTGAAACACATCAAAGTCCCCCTTTTATTCAAAGTGCGAGAGTGAAGGGAATGCAATATGTCTCCAAGCAATGTAGGCACCGGATTACGGGATATAAAAACCTTAATTGCATTCACATCTATAAATTGGTCAGGATTTGGAAATAGTACTAATCCATAGATGAGGAGAGCCAGAATTTCCTCAAAGGCTTGTAGATCCAAAATATTCCAACACTCTTGAGCCTTCTCCAATAAAAACTTTGCTAGTAACTCTTTAACGCCACTCCTTGTTACCCAATTTGTTACTATGTCATATGGTTGCAAATGTAGAGGTCGAGCAATTTCCTCAGGTTTAGGGTCTCTTTCAATATCATTGAAAGGTAACTGATTAAGGATAGGGATCCCTACGAGTTGAGAAAATTCCTCCAAAGTGGGCACAAGTTGGTAATCAGGAAAAGTGAAGCAATGATGCAAAGGGTCGAAGAATTGGACAAGCACCTTTATCATGTCTTCTTCAATACTTGAGGTAACCAAACTAAGGTGTCGGCCATGTCTTTTGGTGAACATGGAATCTACAGGGACCCTTGACGCTAAATCCTTGAGTTGTGGAGGTACCCTCACAAGACTGACTTGGATAGTGCTCCTACGAGTGGAGGCCATTCCCTACAAAACAGAACAAAGATAAATCCAAAAATAATTGAAATGGTTATTGATGTTTATGATGTTTATGATGTTTATGATGTTTATGATGTTATGTACAAGTGCATATACAAAGCAAACAAGTCCTCGGTTTAGGCTTGCATGGGGTTTCAGGTAAGTACCCTCTTGAAGTTTTAGTTGGCTCAACCTGTCCTAGTTAAAAGTAACCGGGTTCTAAAGGATCTCAATATCACTGATATTTCCCCCAAATTTCGTTCAATAAGCGATTGAACTCGCAACCAAACAAAACTCAAGAGTCAAACCTCAATGAGTGTACCATCGAGTATCAACCAACTTCGGACCGCACCAAAGCCGGTCATCTCGCTACGTCCTAATGGCCAAGTTGGTCAAGTAAGGTTCTAAGGTCAGTTGATGCTTTATGACACAATGCGGCGGCGCCGTACTCTCCTTGACTGACTCAAGGGTTACCGGTACCAACCAAAGTGCCACATCAACGTAGCTACTACTTCAATTGTGTCAGTATACCCCGCACAATTCCCTCACAATTTATTTCTACTTACCTAAAAGGTGTCCCTAAATCCGGGTGTAGGATATTTTAACAGTAACCCAAACAAGGAACCAAAATATAAAGCAAGCAAATCAAACAATATAAGCAAGTAAATATGATCTAACCCTAAGGTAACCCCACTTTAGATTCTACTCCCCAGCAGAGTCGCCAGTTCTGTGATACGGTGGGAGAACTGACTTGGGGTTTTGCGTTTGTGTTCACAAAATGTTACGGTTTAGCAAGAGTTGCCACCAACTTTTCTTTTATCCAATAAGGTAACGTGAAAAGGCACAGGAAAGACCTTTCGAGATGTTTTCTTGAGTTCGGGCGGTAGATTATGAAAAGGGAAGGTATTAGCACCCTTTCCATCCATGGTTTTCCATGGGCTCTTAGTTATTTGCTATATCACTTGCTTTTGTTTGAAAATTGTGCTTTTGTGTGATTTTGAAAGTATTTTGAAAAGGTGCCATCGTTTAGGCGAACTTTGCAATGATTCCCGTTCGTAAGAATGTATGCAAAGTGTTGAGCTTTTGAAAATATTTTAAGTTTTGGAAAGATGTATGTGATTGTTTTGAAAATAGCAAGGATGTTTGTTTTGAAATTGAGCAAGTAACCAAAAGTAATCTACCTACTCAAAAGGTTTTAGATGTGTTTTTCATCCTCCTTTAGATGTTTCTACCTTACCATTGATTTGATAAGAAGCCCCGTCGTTGGATGAGAAGGGACAGATGTGGGTCATTGTATAGTCATGATAGCAATGTTGTGAGATATCTTAGCATTCTCTTATAGGGACTAAGATCACTTGTAAGGCAAAATTTGTAGAGTCATCTGTAGCGGTGAAAATCAGAGATCAAGCTATTAATTAACTTGACTCACAAAAGCAAGAGTCGCCACCGCACTTTATTATTTCCAAGGGAAAAGGGAAGAGAGCGAAATAAAACCCTAAAATATGCAATGTAAAATAATACTTAAAAGTAATGAAAATACGATGCGTTTTTTAAAGAGATCGAGAGTTCGGGGGTTGGTTATACAATGGGAAGGTATTAGCACCCAATGCATCTGCGGTACTCCGCAGGAACCTTTTGAAATATTTGTTTTTGGTTAAAATTGTTTGTTTGATTAAAATGGTTTATTTGGTCAAAATGGGTATGGATGAGATTTTGAAGATACGACGACCTCGTGTCGAAGTTTTGACTTAAAAGGTGTGAGTTTGAAAATGGGGTCTTTTTGGAAAATTATCTTAAGTTTGGAAAAATAGTAAACAAGCAAAAAATGAATGAAGGGTATTCGCACGATCGGATGAGATGTATTTGATGACGTGAAGTCAACAAAGTTAAAACATTTCCCTTGGATTTAAATCGAGCAAGTAAAATAAGATGAATCCACAAAGTATAAGCATTCAAAAATTCACAAGAAAACAAATCTAATGAAACAGATTAATGACCAAAAGCATCTAGAAATTAAAATGACAAAGATATTTAAATAAAAGAAAAAAGAACTAATTATCTAAGTCAAAATTATAAGATTACTTATTAAAATGATTCTAAATTAATTACAAACTCTAAAGTTATAAAAATAATTCTAACATTACTAAATTAGATCTAAACTAAATTAAAATTCTAAAGTTATAAAATTAAATCTAAATCAAATAAAATTCCAAAGTTACTAAGCTAAATCTAAATCAAATAAAATTCTAAAATTACTAAACTAAATCTAAATAGAAATTATAAAGTTATTAAAGCTCTAAAGTTACTAAATTATATCTAAACTAATTTAAATGTAAACTAAATTAATTATAAAATTCTAATTTAATCTAAACTATATTGATAATAAAAATACTAAGTTAATTCTAAACTAAATTAATTTTAAGATTACTAATCTAACTTTATACTAAATTACTTATGAAAGAGGTGTGAAACAGAAAATTGAGGGGTGGGCGATGTTGAGTATTAACAGTTTTAAATGGGCTTAGAAAAATTGATTGAGTTGAAGCCCATAAATGCTTATAAAAAACAAATAAATTAAAAACAAAACAAAACAATGCTGCTTCACACAAGTATCGAACTCAGGTCCTCATGTGTTTCACTTACAAGCTCCAGCCACTACACCAAACTGATCATTCATTATATTCTCTTAATTAAAAACTATAAAACACAAAACTTGTGGAATGGGTTGGGCTAGGCCCAAACCCGAATCCAGGTTACCAAGAGGGATTTGGGAATTTTCTGGAACCCTAGTTTGGAGAAAAAAGAGGCGCCGGAGTTTCATGACTTTGGGAAGGGGAAGAATTTAATAAGGTTATTGAATCTTCCCTAGAAAACACACTGCTTTATCCCTCTCTCATAATCAACTCTTTCTCTGTTCACTGCTCTTCTCTGCTTCTCATCCAATTTCGCGAGCAACAACAACAAATATAGCTTCTCAACTTTTCGTATTCAAATTCTCACATTTTTCATAAAGAACAAACAACAACATTGATTGAAAAGAAAAATCGGAAATTTCAAAAGCGCGAGAGAGAGGAGAGAAAATACCGATCTGAATGCTTTTGGATATGAAGAAAATTCCAGGTAAATCCTTCTTCACGATCTTGGTTATCTTGGTTGTGATTTCTACTTCCTTGAGCGCGTGTTGAGTAATGTCACAGGTGAGAAGCTAAGTTCCAAAGGAATGGCGAAGGTTGACAACAGCATGTTTGCAAATGCCATTAAGAACTTGAACCCAATTGATGAGAAAGTTAATCTATCGACCGAGTTTCTCATGTTTCAATCTGAAGAAGAAGATGTTGGTAGATTCAATAAAGTTGTTGCTGAGATTGACGGTGTAGATTGAATGGGAAATTGGATTTAGCAGTGGTGGATGGTGGTTTGGTGATGTGCGTTTTTTCTTTGACAGAAGGTGAAGGTGATGATGATGGAAGGTGGCGTGGGGAGTTGTCAAGGATGCAATTCCAAGAGGGCTTAATGAATATTCCTCTGATGAGGATATGGGTAGTTGACGCCATTTCTGCTGAAATGTGCCAGAATCCAGTACAACTTTCGGGTTGAGGGTCAATGGGGGAGGTGGCGGTGTGGTTGCAGTCCCAACTGAAAAATCTAAACCAAACAGATCATCAATTGCCATGATAGATGCTGGAGCTTGACCAGTTGCGCTTGTACTTGTTTGGGAGGGTTCACCACACTCTCTGCCACTGATACGTTGCATTGTAGAAGCCTGTAATAAAACAAGGCTCTATCATGAACATCCTGGTGAAAGTCAGCAAGACCAGCAGCCAGTGCAGCTCCTAATGCTTTCTGAGTCTCGGGGGGGGGGGGGGGGGGGGTCTCTTAAAGAAACATTTCATTACTGCAGTAAGAAGATGTAAGCGAACCTCGGCAGAATGTTCCTCGTCCCAATTTTGAATTATACTTTCCAGGACATACGGAGCATCATGCATCTCCTGAGAATACTCCCCTAACATCCATATGAGAGCTGCCTTAGCTTTAGGTTCTTGGACATTGTTGCTACTGATATTCCCAACAACCGCAATACAATCCTGACTCCATTGAGGATATTTTCTTAGAAGATCTTTCACAAGCACCGGAGCTTCAGATGTAACATAGTCCTTTTCCATCTCCAGAAACTGTAGAAGTCGATCAACAATGGAATTGACATCATACTGCTGCAGTGCTATCTTGCCAACAGCTCGAATTGATTCCCTTGCTATTGGGATGTCAACATTTGCAGCATCTTCACATAATTCTGTCACTATCTCGTAGGTGTTACTTTCATTTGCAACTGCAGTCAGCATTTCAAGCTTCAACTTTTTGACATAGGATGGTTCATTATACTGGCAATAAAAGGGGTTAATATGAAGGTGGGTTTTATGTGTCTATTTTGACGAGGAGGAGGGAGATGGTGCTATTCGAAGGTGATGAAAAAGAGATACAGAGGGCGTAAGGTCCGCTAGCGGAATTGGAAAGGCGAGATGAAGGGAGTTAGCGGAAGAAGGTTATTGAATGGCAGGAGGAGAGGATGAATGGAAGAGTGAGAGAGGACTTGAGGTTGCTGAGATTGTGTGTTTCTGATTTTGAAGAGTGTTTGATTCGGGGTGCACGAGGTTGTTGTTCTATTTTTTGTTGTGTGTGTGTCTTATGTCTGTGCATTGGGTAATAGATGAAAGGGTGTATTGTGGTGTGTTTTTTGACAGAGAGTGAAGGAAGTTATATGTGGAGAGGGGATGGAAAATAAAAATAAAAAATATGTTGGGAATTGGATGTATGCAGGCGGGAGTTTTTTGATTATGGGGGGAAAGATTGTGTGGATTGAAAAAATAGGAGGGAAATATTTTTGTGACTAAAAGCCCTTTAATGACAAAAATAAAATAAAACTTGAAAGTATAAAAAACTCAATTTAAAATGATTTTTTTGAATATTTTATGAATAAAAAAATAAAGACACAAAATGACCGGAAACGATAAAAACCGGACGAAAATTTATCCGAAAAAATAAAATGAACATATTAAAATAATCTACATGTCACAAAGATTAAAGAAAAAATATTCAAGAAGTCAAAAATCAAAAATAAAATAATAATAAAAATATCAGACTAAACAGACGTTTAAGGTTAAAACGAGACTTCGAACTATACCGAAAAATAAAGCGAGCATACCGTCGTAATCTATGCGAGACGCAGATTCATAAAATGATCGGTAAAAGATGGAAACTTGAAATATTTTTCTCGCTAATTTTTCGTACATTGTTGAATCGCTTTTAACAGTTTGTCTATAAAACCAAAATATTTTTATTATCGACATATAAACAACTTGGAGCAATGCAACAAATGAGTAAATAGATAAAAATGCATGAAGCAAAATGTCGGGTATTTTACAACTGAAAGATGATGCAAACTTTGATTTAAACTGACTTTTCTGGTCAACTTAAATACGACTAATGATGCAAAATGTGATGAATGAAGATATTTACTAATGATTGTGACCAAATGACAAAATATGGTATGAATGTGTGACTGAAAAATTAAGGGCGAAATTAAGGGTGCAACGGTTATGCCTTGACCAATCAGTCTTCGAGAATCCACAATCAACCGTACTTCTGGCTTGGGAGACTCAAAACCTTAATTGAGGAGCGACACCTGATGCTCTTGATTCAGACCTGTCTCTGCACATGAAACAAAAGAAAACATGAACATACACCTTTGTATGCGATTAGAAATTAGGGATACATAGGCTAAAAATGTTCAAAACACTTGACAATCTTCGCATAGTCAAAGCTCGAAGGTGAGAGGTTAAAACCAACCGTATTTCGTGACCTTGGCTTATGTTAAAAAAATGCGAAAATAAAAATGGGATCTTAGGTCAAAAATTGGGGTACAACAGCTGTCCCTATTTAAGTTTCTTCTATCCGGAGATATGAAGATTAGAATCTTCATTTCGACGAGATCGAAGGGACTTAAATATAGAATACATAATTTTTTGCCATAAGATACCGCAATTATGATTATGATCTGATATGAATGGAACATTTTGAATTTAATGAGGAAGGATTCCGTATGAGGCAAACTACTGCTGGAGAAACCAAGCACATTATACAGTAATCCCACTGGGGAAGAGGTTATAACTCCACTGGGGAAACAAAGTCATAGACTTCGAATGAGAGACTCTTATTAAAGAATAACTTTGAGGGAAGAAATGAATGATTTACATCAGTACGAGACTGGAAAAGAAAATGATTTACATCAGTACTGAGACTAGAGAAGGGAAATGATTGACATCAGCACTGTGACTGGAAAAGGAAATGATTGACATCAGTACTGAGACTGGAAAATGATTGGCATCAGTACTGAGACTGGAAAAGAAATGATTTACATCAGTACGAAGACTGGAAAAAGAGATGATTTACATCAGCACTGTGGCTGGAGAACAAAATGATTGACATCAGCACTGTGGCTGGAGATAAACATCTCTGATTTCTGAATTTTACCAAGAACGGTAACACATTTCTTCTTTAACCAAGATATCGCTTGAAAAGGATAAAATAACAAACTTCCCCATGGGACTTTTCCGAAGAGATGCCATTTGCTGAGTAGACATTATTGTTGGGGATACACAAGCTGCTCAAATAAAGAGGCTGCCACTTGCTATCTTTCAAAGGTGACAATAACACACAAGTTGCTCATGAAGAGACCGCCGCTTGCTGTTTGTCAAGAGTATCCATAACACACAAGTTGCCTCATGAAGAGACTGCCGCTTGCTGTTTTTCAAAGATAACAATAACACACAAGTTTCTCATGAAGAGACCGCCGCTTGCTGTTTTTCAATAACACACAAGTTGCTCATGAAGAGACCGCCGCTTGTTGTTTTTTCAAATGTAGCAATAACAATACAAGTTGCTCATGAAGAGACCGCCGCTTGCTGTTTGTCAAGAGTATCCATAACACACAAGTTGCCTCATGAAGAGACTGCCACTTGCTGTTTTTCAAAGATAACAATAACATACAAGTTGCTCATGAAGAGACCGCCGCTTGCTGTTTTTCAGTAACACACAATTGCTCATGAAGAGACCGCCGCTTGTTGTTTTTTCAAATGTAGCAATAACAATACAAGTTGCTCATGAAGAGACCGCCGCTTGCTGTTTTTTTAAGAATGTTGATAACATACAAGTTGTCCATGAAGAGACTGCCGCTTGCTGTTTTTGAAAGTGTTGATAACATACAAGTTGTCCATGAAGAGACTGCCGCTTGCTGTTTTTAAAAAGTATTAATAACATACAAGTTGCTCATGAAGAGACCTCCGCTTGATGTTTCTTTTCAAAATTACCAATAACACACAAGTTGCTCATGAAGAGACTGCCGCTTGTTGTTTCTCAAAGATATTAATAACATACAAGTTGCTCATGAAGAGACCGCCACTTGATGTTTGTCAAGAGTATCCATAACACACAAGTTGCCTCATGAAGAGACTGCCGCTTGCTGTTTGTCAAGAGTATCCATAACACGCAAGTTGCCTCATGAAGAGACTGCCGCTTGCTGTTTCCCAAAAAGATACCCATAAAATATCGTGAAGATATTGCTGGAGGTGAGAATCAATAATTTCATCGAGGATGGACAAACTGCTCATGAAGAGACCGCCATTTGTCATAGAGAAATCAGAAATAATAAAACTGCTCAAATAAAGAGTCAGTCGCTTGTTGTCACGTCGATATTCCAGAAGAAGGTTGTGATAACACTGCTGGGGAATAAAGTTCATCTTCAATGGGGAACCATGAGTAAATCCTTCTTGAGAAGACCAAGTATTTACATTGCAAAATAACTACACTTTCTATCTAGGTTTCACAGCCTAGAGATATTCACAGGGTATCGTTCATAAGAGACAAAGCTCAATCCAGGAATAAACTGGAGAGAAAATAGTCAAACAAGACTCCACCCAATGAGGAAACAACTCAAATGAAGATTTATCCTATCCAGAGATGGAAAAGGAAAGATAAAGCAAGGTTCTTCCAGGAGAGTTAACTCAGTGGGGAATTAGAAAAGAGGCGCACTTTCTGCTTAAGTTGACACTCTATTTGGAAAGATCAAATATGCTATTTGAATAGACATAACCAGGGTATACGAACTCAAAGATATCAACAAATACAAATGTGCGTGCATGATGCAAGTGTGAATGAATAAATGAATGTCATGTATATGCTGACAAAACAGACATGGGAGATAGACAGAAGATGATAAGACGTCCCAGTACAACCCGACGCTCAACTAATCTCAACAGGATGGGAACATTACTGGAGATAAAACACAGGCCACCATTGGAACAAGGTCCTTTTACAAGGCTTAAATATCTCTGGAGAGGAAGATATTTTCAGGTAGAAAACCCAAAGTCCAGTCTTCTATTGCAAACAATCCATTGAAAGGATAACAACACGAACAATGCTTCAGCTGGAAAAAGTCAGGCTTAACTGGAGATACTGGGGACAACACCCTCTGATAATGTATGAAAAACATATCTTGACAAATCTGGATTGCCCCTGGGATTAATTTTGGATGCCCTAAGTTTACTGCTGATGAGATGCATGTTGCACGACAATTCTTGCGAATAGCTTCACTTCTAACATGCCCCAAGCTATCTGGTTGATGAGGAGAAATCGTCTCAAGAGGATTTTACAAAAGACCTGGCATTCACCATGCTCTGGTGTCTTCAAACTCTTAGAGGAATTCATCAAATCTCTACGTGATTGCCCCAGATTGACTGTAGTCGGCACAACAAAGTCTTCGAATTTTTGCCCCAAACGAACAAACAAGTTGGGAAAAGCATTAACTGGGAGAAGCAACATGTTCGTGCTTACGGTCTTCAGGTGACATGCCCATGGATATGATTTTTTCGAAATGATTCGCCAATTACTCAACATAGCCTCAGGCCTTAAAAGAATAAGCTCATCACTGGTGCTTATGTGAGCTTCCTTGATATCAAACAAATGTTTTGCAGTTAGAAAAAGTTTACAATGAGAATGAAAATTCTAATGCAACAGTTATGTAAGTCTTGAAGATTTTGAAAGATATCGCACAAATTTTGCGAGTTAAAGCACCATTTATTTTTGTATAGGAAAAACATATGATACCAACATAACTATTTAGAACATTCATGGGAGTCAGGAACACTATCTCATTGAAGTATGCTTTCAAAATAACCTTGCTTCAATTAGGACTTTTGAAGGTTGTAACGTGGTCTGGTTCGTGGTTTTAGAAAAAAAGATATAAGGCTCAAAATATTTGGTGCCCACCCCCTTCATGATGTTCTCCAACCCTATGTTCAGTTAATTCAACATGAGCGTTCATCTCTCAAAAGGATTTTGTGACGGTCAGGGAAACGACGAGGCTTTCGGAGTAGAAACCACCCTCATGTCTTCGTGTTTGTAGTCACCAATTTGTTCTTTGCTGAGGACTTTTCTTTGCAGTCCTTTTCTTTGCAATTTTATTTTCCATAATTTTTGCCTGAACTAATTTTTTGAATTGATAGTCCAGCGGGATGCCTTAATTTTGCCTAAGTCACACGTTTTCATGTTTCTTGACTTAGCAGGCTTTTTCTTTTTTTCTCGATTTTTGACTTTTTGAACAAAATGTGTGACATTAGCTTGTATTTGCTTGTTGAGAGGATTGTGATTGCCTCGTTTCTTGATGAATGAGGGATAACATTGTGGTTCCACATCTTCTGGCTTCATTATACATGAAAGATATCCCTCTTAGTTTCTCTTCAAAAAACATCTTCCTTATGAATTTCGAACACTCAGTCAGATTAACTAAAAACTACCCTGTCCCAGGTTAAAATTCAAGGTTTTTTCGTATAGAAAAGAAACTTCTGCTTCAAAGGCTCAAAAGGGGTTAGCAAGGGATTATCTTCCTTATATCTTCGGTGTTTAGGGATTTGAAACAATGCCTGTACATCATCAGCAAGATTTTATCCAAAAGCAAACAACCAGAGATTTTGTGTTCTTTAGATCATCATCCTCCCTTCAATCTCTGCCTAGGCCAGAGAATGGGCAACAAGTTGGTATCATAATGCAAAAAGAAATTTAAAATTTGAAAACAAATATGAGTGAAACGAATGAATTTCTTCAAGACAAACATACTCATTGTATTAAGATAATCATTCAGATGCAAACAAGTTCTTACATGCAAACAATGTTTTGATAAACAAGAAAAATTACAAAAAGCATAAATAAGTTAATAATCTGGGAAGGCTTTCCATCTGGACTTGAATTACCAAAAACATCCTTCAAAAATCAAAGTCACCGTCAATTGTGTTTACTCTTCGGCACATGCTTGATTTGAACTTCAAAACCAACGTCCTTGAACGACAAGATACCACTTCTGACCAACTTTTGAACCTCAATATTCAAAGCAAAGCAACCCTCCAAGTCATGCCCAGGAGCACCTTGATGAAAAGTACAAGTCAAATCAGCTTTGTAGTACCAATGTATCTTCTTAGGAACCTTCGATGGAGGTCGGGTCTGAACCAAATTCCTCTGCATCAGGATATGGAACAACTCTATATAGGTAATCAGAATTGGATCAAACTGGGTTTTCCTCTGATTAGGAACTTGCTGATTCTGTTGGTAAATGGGAGAAACATGATGATTCTGATGATGATTATTTCTTCCTCTGGTTCTCTTCTTGGAAAAGTCATTATCAAACTTCCTCACACCATTAGCTGAGCTACCATCTTCATATGAACATCCCTTCCCAACATCTTCTTCTAGACGCACTCCCACATTCACCTTGTCAGGAAAGTCATTAGGTGCATTAACCATCACCTCCTCATGAGAGAATGATTTTAGAGTTTCAGTGAAGACCTTTTCCATCACTTCTTCTTTCTTAGAAGGATTGACTTGGGAGGCAACCAGAATTTCAACCAAACCAGTTAAGTGCTCCACACTAGCTTTCAAATTAGTCGCCTCTCTGCGGAGTTCAGAAATCTCTTGCTTGATATTCTCCATTGTTCTCTTAGCGTCAGTGTTGTACTGGTGAGACCAAAGGAAAAATAAGACTTGGAAAAAGACCTTTGAAAGTGAAACAAAAAATGTAGAATGATGCATGATATGCAAAAGAGAGTTTTTATCTGTCTTTCAAGGAACTCAAGATATTAAGTTGTAAACATCAAAGTATGAAGGTAGAAGATGAATTTTAAATTGGCTCCAAACATTGATCAAGTTATCATCAAGATCAATCATCCATTTTGGTGGATTAGGGTTTTCGCCCTATCAACACCCAAGATCCATTGAGCTTGATGAAACTTGTGATGTTTACAAAGAAAGACCTCAAAATTCCTTCAAAGTCAAGTGAAAAAGGTTTTATGGATGCATGAATGCATGGCTATGCAACAACCACAAGCAAGGTCACAAATAAAGTCGAAAGGTTCAACGTCACGAGCATGGAGTCAAGGTAAGGAACACCCCCAAGGTATGTACTAACGGTTTAATCACACCTGTAGAACAAGGTTCTAAGAGTTCCCGGAGTCTACATTCCTCCTTCGGATATTACTGACGTCTTGATTACTCAATAATCAGCAATATTCTCAATAGAAACTCATCCGAGCGTAGCATCGCGTGACAACTACTTCCGGATTACTCCGTTATAATCTCCGCGCTACACCTAAAAGGCCAAGGATGGGTTAGGGTTCTACGGTTCCCAGCTTCTTTGGCTCCCAGGTCGAAAATAATAATGTCTTCCCGATTACTCGGTAAACAAATATTACGTTCAAAAGGGCCTTCCACTGAGTGGGGGATCTCATGCCTCCTTCTTCGGGATTACTCCCTCAAAGTTAACATGACTATACCGCCCGTCCTATTCCTAAGTGTAACTTAGTCCGGGTATAGGACTTGTCCTTTGTAAATATTATCAACACCCAAATAATCATAATATATACATATAATCAAACAATCAAATAATGATAAAACAGATAAAACAAATCAGGCTTAACCCACTTAGGGATGGACCAGCAAGAGGTCAATCTTTCCCCAGCAGAGTCGCCAATTCTGTAGCGGTGAAAATCAGAGATCAAGCTATTAATTAACTTGACTCACAAAAGAAAGAGTCGCCATCGCGCTTTATTATTTCCAAGGGAAAAGGGAAGAGAGCGAAATAAAACCCTAAAATATGCAATGTAAAATAATACTTAAAAGTAATGAAAATACGATGCGTTTTTGAAAGAGATCGAGAGTTCGGGGGTTGGTTATACAATGGGAAGGTATTAGCACCCAATGCATCTGCGGTACTCCGCAGGAACCTTTTGAAATATCTGTTTTTGGTTAAAATTGTTTGTTTGATTAAAATGGTTTATTTGGTCAAAATGGGTGTGGATGAGATTTTGAAGATACGACGACCTCGTGTCGAAGTTTTGACTTAAAAGGCATGAGTTTGAAAATGGGGTCTTTTGGGAAAATTATCTTAAGTTTGGAAAAATAGTAAACAAGCAAAAAATGAATGAAGGGTATTCGCACGATCGGATGAGATGTATTTGATGACGTGAAGTCAACAAAGTTAAAACATTTCCCTTGGATTTAAATCGAGCAAGTAAAATAAGATGAATCCACAAAGTATAAGCATTCAAAAATTCACAAGAAAACAAATCTAATGAAACAGATTAATGACCAAAAGCATCGAGAAATTAAAATGACAAAGATATTTAAATAAAAGAAAAAAGAACTAATTATCTAAGTCAAAATTATAAGATTACTTATTAAAATGATTCTAAATTAATTACAAACTCTAAAGTTATAAAAATAATTCTAACATTACTAAATTAGATCTAAACTAAATTAAAATTCTAAAGTTATAAAATTAAATCTAAATCAAATAAAATTCCAAAGTTACTAAGCTAAATCTAAATCAAATAAAATTCTAAAATTACTAAACTAAATCTAAATAGAAATTATAAAGTTATTAAAGCTCTAAAGTTACTAAATTATATGTAAACTAATTTAAATGTAAACTAAATTAATTATAAAATTCTAATTTAATCTAAACTATATTGATAATAAAAATACTAAGTTAATTCTAAACTAAATTAATTTTAAGATTACTAATCTAACTTTATACTAAATTACTTATGAAAGAGGTGTGAAACAGAAAATTGAGGGGTGGGCGATGTTGAGTATTAACAGTTTTAAATGGGCTTAGAAAAATTGATTGAGTTGAAGCCCATAAATGCTTATAAAAAACAAATAAATTAAAAACAAAACAAAACAATGTTGCTTCACACAAGTATCGAACTCAGGTCCTCATGTGTTTCACTTACAAGCTCCAGCCACTACACCAAACTGATCATTCATTATATTCTCTTAATTAAAAACTATAAAACACAAAACTTGTGGAATGGGTTGGGCTAGGCCCAAACCCGAATCCAGGTTACCAAGAGGGATTGGGGAATTTTCTGGAACCCTAGTTTGGAGAAAAAAGAGGCGCCGGAGTTTCATGACTTTGGGAAGGGGAAGAATTTAATAAGGTTATTGAATCTTCCCTAGAAAACACACTGCTTTCTCCCTCTCTCATAATCAACTCTTTCTCTGTTCACTGCTCTTCTCTGCTTCTCATCCAATTTCGCGAGCAATAACAATAAATATAGCTTCTCAACTTTTCGTATTCAAATTCTCACATTTTTCATAAAGAACAAACAACAACATTGATTGAAAAGAAAAATCGGAAATTTCAAAAGCGCGAGAGAGATGAGAGAAAATACCGATCTGAATGCTTTTGGATATGAAGAAAATTCCAGGTAAATCCTTCTTCACGATCTTGGTTATCTTGGTTGCGATTTCTACTTCCTTGAGCGCGTGTTGAGTAATGTCACAGCTGAGAAGCTAAGTTCCAAAGGAATGGCGAAGGTTGACAACAACATGTTTGCAAATGCCATTAAGAACTTGAACCCAAGTGATGAGGAAGTTAATCTATCGACCGAGTTTCTCATGTTTCAATCTGAAGAAGAAGATGTTGGTAGATTCAATAAAGTTGTTGCTGAGATTGACGGTGTAGATTGAATGGGAAATTGGATTTAGCAGTGGTGGATGGTGGTTTGGTGATGTGCATTTTTTCTTTGACAGAAGGTGAAGGTGATGATGATGGAAGGTGGCGTGGGGAGTTGTCAAGGATGCAATTCCAAGAGGGCTTAATGAATATTCCTCTGATGAGGATATGGGTAGTTGACGCCATTTCTGCTGAAATGTGCCAGAATCTAGTACAACTTTCGGGTTGAGGGTCAATGGGGGAGGTGGCGGTGTGGTTGCAGTCCCAACTGAAAAATCTAAACCAAACAAATCATCAATTGCCATGATAGATGCTGGAGCTTGACCAGTTGCGCTTGTACTTGTTTGGGAGGGTTCACCACACTCTCTGCCACTGATACGTTGCATTGTAGAAGCCTGTAATAAAACAAGGCTCTATCATGAACATCCTGGTGAAAGTCAGCAAGACCAGCAGCCAGTGCAGCTCCTAATGCTTTCTGAGTCTCGGGGGGGGGGGGGGGGGGGGTCTCTTAAAGAAACATTTCATTACTGCAGTAAGAAGATGTAAGCGAACCTCGGCAGAATGTTCCTCGTCCCAATTTTTAATTAAACTTTCCAGGACATACGGAGCATCATGCATCTCCTGAGAATACTCCCCTAACATCCATATGAGAGCTGCCTTAGCTTTAGGTTCTTGGACATTGTTGCTACTGATATTCCCAACAACCGCAATACAATCCTGACTCCATTGAGGCTATTTTCTTAGAAGATCTTTCACAAGCACCGGAGCTTCAGATGTAACATAGTCCTTTTCCATCTCCAGAAACTGTAGAAGTCGATCAACAATGGAATTGACATCATACTGCTGCAGTGCTATCCTGCCAACAGCTCGAATTGATTCCCTTGCTATTGGGATGTCAACATTTGCAACATCTTCACATAATTCTGTCACTATCTCGTAGGTGTTACTTTCATTTGCAACTGCAGTCAGCATTTCAAGCTTCAACTTTTTGACATAGGATGGTTCATTATACTGGCAATAAAAGGGGTTAATGTGAAGGTGGGTTTTATGTGTGTATTTTGATGAGGAGGAGGGAGATGGTGCTATTCGAAGGTGATGAAAAAGAGATACAGAGGGTGTAAGGTCCGCTAGAGGAATTGGAAAGGCGAGATGAAGGGAGTTAGCGGAAGAAGGTTATTGAATGGCAGGAGGAGAGGATGAATGGAAGAGTGAGAGAGGACTTGAGGTTGCTGAGATTGTGTGTTTCTGATTTTGAAGAGTGTTTGATTCGGGGTGCACGAGGTTGTTGTTCTATTTTTTGTTGTGTGTGTGTCTTATGTCTGTGCATTGGGTAATAGATGAAAGGGTGTATTGTGGTGTGTTTTTTGACAGAGAGTGAAGGAAGTTATATGTGGAGAGGGGATGGAAAATAAAAATAAAAAAATATGTTGGGCATTGGATGTATGCAGGCGGGAGTTTTTTGATTGTGGGGGGAAAGATTGTGTGGATTGAAAAAATAGGAGGGAAATATTTTTGTGACTAAAAGCCCTTTAATGACAAAAATAAAATAAAACTTGAAAGTATAAAAAACTCAATTTAAAATGATTTTTTTGAATATTTTATGAATAAAAAAATAAAGACACAAAATGACCGGAAACGATAAAAACCGGACGAAAATTTATCCGAAAAAATAAAATGAACATATTAAAATAATCTACATGTCACAAATATTAAAGAAAAAATATTCAAGAAGTCAAAAATCAAAAATAAAATAATAATAAAAATATCAGACTAAACAGACGTTTAAGGTTAAAACGAGACTTCGAACTATACCGAAAAATAAAGCGAGCATACCGTCGTAATCTATGCGAGACGCAGATTCATAAAATGATCGGTAAAAGATGGAAACTTGAAATATTTTTCTCGCTAATTTTTCATACATTGTTGAATCGCTTTTAACAGTTTGTCTATAAAACCAAAATATTTTTATTATCGACATATAAACAACTTGGAGCAATGCAACAAATGAGTAAATAGATAAAAATGCATGAAGCAAAATGTCGGGTATTTTACAACTGAAAGACGATGCAAACTTTGATTTAAACTGACTTTTCTGGTCAACTTAAATATGACTAATGATGCAAAATGTGATGAATGAAGATATTTACTAATGATTGTGACCAAATGACAAAATATGGTATGAATGTGTGACTGAAAAATTAAGGGCGAAATTAAGGGTGCAACAGTTATGCCTTGACGAATCAGTCTTCGAGAATCCACAATCAACCGTACTTCTGGCTTGGGAGACTCAAAACCTTAATTGAGGCGCGACACCTGATGCTCTTGATTCAGACCTGTCTCTGCACATGAAACAAAAGAAAACATGAACATACACCTTTGTATGCGATTAGAAATTAGGGATACATAGGCTAAAAATGTTCAAAACACTTGACAATCTTCGCATAGTCAAAGCTCGAAGGTGAGAGGTTAAAACCAACCGTATTTCGTGACCTTGGCTTATGTTAAAAAAATGCGAAAATAAAAATGGGATCTTAGGTCAAAAATTGGGGTACAACATCATCGAGGGACTATGATCTTGTATTGTGATTATTTTTGCTAAGACATTCCACATGCATAACATGGCCATTTTTGTAAGGCAACAAGTGGAATTTCCCTAAGGTTGCATGTGTGCAAGTGTGTTTGATTGCATGCATTTTGTCTTTGATTTTTGAGTTGTCTACTTGTTGATTTTATCTTGCCATACATACCTAATTACTTAACATTTATATGAATGTAATAAAAGAGTGCAAGAAATAAATCCTACACTATTACAACCATATTGAACTTCATAAAAATATAAAGACAAAAATAAGGTAAAAGTAAGAAATAAAATGGATCTTTCAACTTAGGGCAGCAAACCCTTCGATTCTGCCATTTCTGACTCTCTTCAACCTTACCTGAAAAGGGGTAAAGGAATGAGTTTTGATTGGGGCCTAGAAGCCAACATATTTTGGCTTTCGATTGGGGCCTGGAGACCAGCATGTTGTGCCTTTCGACTGGGGCCTAGAAGCCAACATATTGTGCCTTTCGATTGGCTTGAAGGTTAGTATGGAAGCCAGAGGCTTCGTTTCTAACTTTTATGTCTCCTGTTTCTTTCATTTGAGTTTAAATAGCAACATGGCCCAAGGCCATTCCAACATCACCTTAAGACTAGATTAGTTCTTTAAAGCATATTTAAATGTACCAAGAGCAAAATCCAAGAAGATTGTTAACCATGACACATATTAAGAGAGTGAAAACAAAAAGAAGAAAAATAGTATGTACATGTTTTAAATGAAAAAGAAAACTTATTTACATGCTATGCTGGAAACGAAGGGCCAAAGGTTAAAAATGACTTACCTTGCTGGAGGTTAGAGCGTGTTCTGGACTTTGAAGCAGTTGCTTTGAATGCCTCTGGATTCGAAAGAAAAGACCCAGGGTAGGCCTTCGACACTGGATTCGAAAGGGAAAAACAAGTGAAATATCCTTCTTTGATGGATTCAAAGGAAGGAATAAGTGGGATGCTTCTTGAGTTGAAGGAAACTGGAATGTGTTGTTCTTCAGAATTGAAGGAGGTAACTATGATTCTGTTTTTTTTTATTTCACAAGTGTTTAAGTGTTTGAGAATATTATGGCGTGTGAGAATTCTGAAGATACATTCCCCTCCTCCTCCTTTTTTTTCTTTGTTCAAATGAACTCTCTATTTATAGAGAAATTCTTTTGGGAAGCTTGGGGAGCAAAAATAATAAAATAAGGCTTAGTATGGAAAGTAAGTGTCCACTTGTGCCATAAAAGCAAGATGAATGGTTCAGATGGGTTGCTTCTTTCTGAAGGAAAACAGGCGCAAGGCTCAAGACAAACATTTCTAAAAGGTAGTATTATGCTATTAAGTGCAAGTGGTCTTGGACAACAACTGGGTAAAGGCCTAAAAAGGGAAAACACGTAGCCTATTCTATGGGTCTAAATGTTCAACTTGATCTTTTGAGTCGAATCCTCAATCTTTCTACACCTATTGACTAGACTAGAACAACACAACATTCGTTTTCACCAGTTGTGTTTCCTTCAAATGAACTAACTGTGTGTTCTTTGAATAGCCCTTTTTAGCTGAATATGCCATTTTGATTCTTCTTGCTTATAATAAGTTAGGCCCAAACCTTCGACCAGACTCTAAAGTAAGAGAACAATTATTCACCAACTGTGGCAAGTCCTTCGAATGGACCACCATGTTGTGTGTCATAATGCAGGATTATGGCGTATTGAAGGGTTTACAGATGGATTCGAAGGTGATATGAAGGCGCGTTCGAATCATACATGAAGATGAATTTGAAAGTCACAGGAAGGTAGCCATTCATCCAATCGAAAACTTATGAATCCAAGGCAAACAGGTGAGGGGCGAATGGTGCAATCGAATGACGCTTTTCAAAAGGTTATTAACTTTTGAATCGAAGGAAACTTTCAGAAGATTATTGACTTTTTGAATTGAAGAAAACCAAAAGGAGGGCTTTGCTTCCTGAGTCGAAGGAAATTCCTGAGTCGAAGGACACTGTTTCAAAGGGAAACAAAAACTCAATTGAAGCTTATATGGAGATCATTTCCTTCTGAGTCGAAGGAAGCTTTCAATACCCAAATGAAAGATGTAACCAAAATTGTATGAAGCCCTTGCTCGACTGAAGCTTGCATGCAGGCATGGCCATAGATGAATGCCTAAACAAAGGCTTACACGCAGATATGAGAAGGTGAATGCCCAAATGAAGGCTTGTATGCAGGAAATTTGGTACTCAAAGAAAACATGCAGGCAGTGGAAGACACAAACGAAGCCTACAATAAGAAGTCACATGCCCAGACGAAAGAGACACGCTAGCAGCAACTTTTGAGCAATCGAAGGAGGTGCAAATTCCAATCGAAGGGAGCTGAATCGAAGGAGACCTATTTTCCTCCAAATTTTTCAAAATGTTATTTTTCTCTGTTTTCTCCCTTTTTGATAGTTTGCTTTTAATTCTGGTGCTGGAAAATCCCAATGTACTTGTGCAAGCTTGAATTTTGAGTATCATTGTGAGAGATGCCTTGAGATTGAGAGGGAAAATTTTGGGGTACAACACTTAGTAACCTTAGAATTACAAATTAGTTTAGATAATTTTCTTAATTACATATTTATTTTATTCATGATTCTTCTTTGTCCATTCATTTAGTTTCTTACGATTTATCTTGTTATTATCTGCCTTGTTTGTTTCTTGTGGATTTTTCATTATTTATACTTTGATTCTTGTTCAGTTATTAGACCGACTTGCTTATGATTAATTTCAAGGGGAAGAATTAGTTTGTTGACTTCATGTCATCAAATACATCTAATACGATTGTGTGAATCCTTTCATTCATTTTTGTTTTACTATTTTGCTAAACTTAAGTCAATTTTCCTAAAAAACTCAATTTTCAAACTCAAAACTTTTAAGTTAAAACTTCGACACTAGGTCGTCGTATCTTCAAAATATCGTCCAAACAAATCATTTTTAACCAACCCAACCATTTTTAGCTGAACAAACTATTTTAATCAGACAAACAATTTTAAACCAAAAAAAACATTTCAAAAGGTTGTTGTGGAG